CAAAGATTGGCATTTAGTTCCGCTAAGCGCTTGGGGAGCCAATGCTGCTCCTGCTGCTGCTGCTGCTGCTGCTACTCCTGCCGATGATCTGTATTGGGGAGCCTAATGATTTGGCCATTTGCCAGTTGCAGTGGACTGCGACGGCGACGGTGACTGAGACTGAGACTGAGACTTCGACTGAGACTGTGACTGTGCAACATATGGCATTCGATTTTTGTTGCGGCTTCAGCACAACTGACGCAGGATACGCAGCAACTTAGCTACCTACAACTTCCTTTAACAGAAAATTAAACTGCATGCGCATGCGCTCATACATATAAATGGGAATATATGCATGCAACTCCAACTGCAGGAGATCAATCAAAAATTGGTACAACCCTCGTATGACTTGGCCTAGCAGGACATTTGCGAGGCGCGCATCTACTACTATGCAGCAGCGACTGCAGACGCAGACCCACTTGACTTGCACTGCATGGCTATATCCTTTTCACCTTATGCGCAACTCATGTGTCTGTGTGTGAGTTAGTATCTGTGTGTGTGTGTGAGCTGCACCTGCTTCAGCAGCAGCAGGACGCGCGCGTCTTTTGACCGCAATCGCATATAAAAACGAGTACAAATGCTGCAAGTGGATGCTATTGACTGCTCTTATACCCGCTCAAAGTGAAATCATTGAATAGATTTTTTTTTGTGTTTTGCTGTCAGCTGTCCGCGTCGATCTCAACAGCATTTCAATGTTCTATGCAGCTCTAAAAATGTAAAAGTTTTCCATATTATGTTTTCATACTCTGAACCCATAGTTAAGCAGGGTATATTATTCTTTGTTTACACCCTTTTTGAGTGAGTTTGGTCTGTAGGAGCATATATCTTTCACAAATATACTTTATTTGTCATCCTTTTTATATTGTTATATCATTCTATTTATATTTGATAATAAAAGGGAATGATCTATAAGGATAGTTAATCAAAAATCATTTAACCTAAGGCTAACTAAATGTGTGAATTTGTCTCTTTTCATTCTTATTCTGTAATATTTTTAACAAATTAGATCAATGTATAAAATTGACTATAAATTATCAATGAGATAATCTCTGATTTTATATTTATACAAATTTTCTTTCATTTTCCTAACTAAAATTAGCTATAAGTTATATCTGGCTATAGCTAAATAGTAAAACTTTGGATCTCATTATGTAAATGTATTTACAAATTGTACAAATTTGTTTTAAGCTACATAATTGATGCATAACTAGATTTAATAATTCCTGATTTGCTAAAAAAGCAATCCTAATTATAAACTAAAAATACTCACGAGCTTATCAAACTGTTTACAGTCAATTGCGCATGAAAATACTCACCGAGGCTCATTACTCTTAAGCCAATATACTCACTTGTTACTTAGCGAACGAGCATGATAACAACAACAACAACAAGTTAAATAAAAGCAAAGGCCGCTTACAACAGCTGGGGGTCGAAATCGTCAACATTTAACTGTTAAGCTTGGCGCGCTTACAGGATCTGTGCACCGTTTGGCTGTTTACCTGTTGCCTGTTGCCTGTTTACCTGTTGGCCAATTGCTCGTGCCAAAGCAAACCGCAAATCCCGAAAGCCCGAAAGCCCCAAAAACTCAATCCGAGTGGTATATACACAGCTCACCCTCTACCTCTCTCTCTGCTGCTGCTGCTGCTCCTGCTCCTGCTCCTCGTTATCCTGCGCGAAACAACTTTCGTTTATTTTAATTTAGCTTGCGGTCCTCTGGCTGAGGGTGAGCTCGGTGCATTCAGAGAGCGAACAGTTACGGGCACAGTTTGTGGCACAGCCTGTGCCAGCCACCACAGCCTGCTGCAATCTGACGGCCTGCTGCATTTAATAACTGTTTTCGTTTTTGTGGCCCCCGAGTGCGCACGATTGCCACCACGTGCCACTCTTTTTTTTTTAATTTTTTGTATTGCGTATTCGCGCTGCTAGAGCCTTTTGCAGCTTGCCACATTTTGCGGCCTCCTGCTCTCTGGCTTATCACATTAAACGACGAGTCTCGCAGCTTAATTAATGTTTATTTATTTTAACGAGGCCTCTCGGCTCTTGGCCTAAATCAAAGCTCACGTCTCGCTCACTTGAGCTGATCGAAGGCCTGGCGCAGCATTTGATTGCAGAGCGCCGCAAAGGGATTTATTTCGACTAGCTGTAAATATATATATACAAATTGATATATACGTATGTATTGAATAATCTTTATTTATAGCTGCTTAAGTGTTTCACTCACCTGCTCTCGCGCAAATTTACTGCCCAGCTGTGCAGCAGCTTCGAAGTCCGCGCGTGCTGCATCCAAATTTTCTAGCTTTCGATGCAAGACACCGCGTTGGCAGTGGGCGTGGCATTTGGTGCGTGCCGGCTTCTCAGTTGCGAGCTCCAGAGCGCGATTTAGATCACTAAGCGCCTCTACCGGGGTAGAAAATAGTGGGAAATTGGGTTGAGTTTACTTAGTTTGAAATAGTAGTTTAAGTTTTAACAGAAGATGTAATGGTAATGGTAGTAGTAAAAGTAGTAGTATAGTAGTAAATGGATTATTAGTAAAAGTAGTAACATTACCAACATCAACAGTAGTATAATAATAGTACAGATAACAATAGTAGTACAAATAGTAGTAATAGCTCAGATTATAGTAGTAGAATAGTAGTAGTAGTAAAACTTGTATTTATAGCACATAAAAGTAGTAGAATAGTAGTAGCACTAAGAAAAGTAGTAGAAATATCAGTAGTCAGTAATAATAGTGATAATAATAGAATTCTTTGTTAGAGTAGTATTAATTGTAGAATATATGCAGCTATCATTGTGGTCGCAATGCGATAAGCATTAGCAGTAGCTATCAAAACACTCATTATTATGGCATTCAAACTTAACGTATGCAGCTGCACTGCTTAGCCTGCTTAACAATCAGTATAAACACTGCCTTGATAGCAAACAAAATACAGGTAATTAGCGCCATCTACTGCTGAAGCTCGAAATAGGGAAAAATGTAGATTGGTTCGCGTCTCGGATAAGTGAATTTAAGATAAGTAAGAATTTATTAGTAAAATATTATTAAATTAACACTAGCCACCAGGCTTAACAGGTTTAACAGTGGTATTTACCATTTCCTTTGTGATATATATTCGATATTTAAATATTATATATTAAATCTCTCTCTTGCTGTATCTCCCTTACCTTCATCTCGCTTGGCCAAACGCAGGGCCTGCGCCCGATTGTTGAATATAGAGGCACGCTCCATTAAATTTAAAGCCTTCTCGAATGCCAGCAGCGCCTGCTCCAATTCCCCACGCTCTGCCAGTCTCACCCCCTGCAGCTCCAGCTCTCTAGAGGCCGGAAGGAGCGGTGAATCGGGCTGCTCATCGAGCAGCTCCATTTCGGGTTGGATTTCCACATTGTGGGAGCCGATGCCGCTCAGCTCTAGAGGATTGAAGATGGAATCCAATACCTGTTGATCATGTGGACTTAGCTGGAGCTTGGCCTGCGGCATGTCTGAAACTTCCACTTGTTATCGTCTTTGAAACTCAATTAGAAATGAAATCAAAACGAAATCAAAACAAAATAATCTAAGCTATGCAAAGCAGCTTGCTTAACCGGTTCGAATTGCGATTATTGCCAGGGCATACACTGCAAGAAACTGGATTGTGGTTTATAAAAAAACGGTTTGTTTTTATTTTTCATTTTCTTTCTTGTTTTCTTTTTTGGTTTTTTTTTCTCGTTTTTTGTTTTTTTCTTTTTTCATTTATGTATATGTAAATACCAAGGACAATATCATTTGTTTACTCTTGTTTTTGCAATTATTTAATTAATAATAATATAATAATAAATCAGCGATACATATGCATATATACATATATACATATGTGAATATATATATGCATATATAATAATGTCAATTGTTGCTATGCTAATGCGTTTTACTTTGCTTTTAATTTTGATAAATACAATCATATATATATTTCTGTATATATATATATAATATTATTAATAGTTTGTCAATAAATGTTTAAATGTTTAACTTTATGCACTGCTCAAAAAGTTGCCGCCTTCTCTTTACAATATACACAACAGAAATAATTGTTATAGACTAATTTCCTTTCATACTATAATATATGCAGCTTGATTTATGAGTGGTGTCTGTTTGGGTTCTATATTGACAACAAAATAACTGTAAAACTGACTTATAGAGTATATCTCGCATTGAAATAGGTATATATGT